CTCAAACATGTGTATTAATCATAAATAATATTCAACGTTAAACTGGTACACAGTTAAAAACATTTTATTTAGGCCTATCTATGGCCTTCATAAAGTTGACGACTCTACATGTTTCGACATTACAACGTGACTCCTGAGGTCAACTTTTTGAAGGTCATAGATAGGCCTAAATAAAATGTTTTTAACTGTGTACCAGTTTAACGTTGAATATTATTTATGATCTTAACTGTTGAAATTGTTTGTTATTTCTAGTTCAAAGATGTTGTGGCCCGGCATGGCCAGGCGATTATGGCGCTCGACTCGTAATCTGAGAGTCGCGGGTTCGAATCCCCCAAACATTCTCGTCCTTTCAGCCGTGGGAGCGTTAAATAGCACGGTCAATCCCATCATCCGTTGGTAAAAGAGTAGCGCAAGAGTTGGCGGTGGGTGGTAATGACTATCTGTCTTCCCTCTAGTCTTTCACTGCTAAATTAGGGACGGCTAGCGAAGATAACTCTCGTGTAGCTGTACACAAAATTCAAAACAAACAAACCAAACCAAAGATGTTGAACTTATGTGAAAAAGACGATAAAGAAGTTATAATTGCCAGAAAAAAAGACAACAGTTATTTATCTTCTGGCGCAAAAATGTCGTACTTTGCTAATACAGATGACGTGTTATTTCTGGTACAAAGATGTTGTACTTGCCTGAGAAAGATGACATGTTATTTATTTTTTGCCGGTTCCTCATTTCAATCAAAAAGGAGTCAATGTAATCACAAGCATTGCTTGGGTCCAATCTCTTCTTGTGGTTATTGGTTTCTTCACTGAAAGAATTTTCAATTTGACACGATTCAAAGAAAGGGATTATTGAACACACTGTCTATTCTTTATATTCATGTTCTTAGAAGCTACAAAACAATCTATACTGTTGCCTTGAAAAGTAGATGAGCATTTTATGTATTGTATCTCAATCCATGTAAAACATTGTACTAAAATCATATCTTCGATTTGCTTTAATGTTCATGTATCTATAAACAGGATTTTGTATGTTTTGCACAAAAGTTAAAAATTATAGTTAACTTATTCCAAACTCTGCAGAAAGCTACACGTTACTAGACTGTATAAAATGTACTTAGGTGTTGGATGTTCTTAAGATTGTACAACAAACGTACTAAATCCAATTATTTTTTATGCATTACTAAGGTGAGATGATGTTAGGCAGTTTATAAAATCATTGAAAATCAATAGTATAATAATGATCAAATGACAATTATTAGAAAGTAAAGTCAATCAGTTATATTTTGGTCAAACAGAGGAAAAATTCCCAAATGTATAACAACATTTATTAAAATTTAACAGTTGTAGCAAAACAAGACAAGAAAAACATGAATTAAGGTTTACTAGTCAAATAACAACAATTTTCAGAAACAAGCAACATATACATTATCATTTATATAGTACGATACAAAAATACACAATTTTTAAGCATATCAATTTTTTAGGAAATCCTTTTGATTTAGCCCTATAAATGGTAAGCCTTCAAGACAATGGATAAAAACAAGGAATTTTCAGACTAAAACGGGCTTTGCAGTTGGAGTCTATTTAATCGAGAAGTTATCAAAAACAGTTGTAATCGCTAACAAGCAAAAGATCATGAAGTAAACTAGTAAGTAGGGGCACTTGTCAGAGGGTCCCACATTGTTTTTTTTTTTTTGTTTTTTTTTCAGACTTTCCAAAACTTTTCCTACAACTGATTTAGGATGAGTCTATAAATACTGGAACCACCTCCCTTGAAAAGAGGAGTGACATTAGCTAATTTCCTGCCCATTATTCAAGAACTGACAAAAATAGTAGCAAGTGGCTCATATATCCAATATTTAACCTCTTTCAAAACCGTCGGGGAAATAATATTTGGCCCAGGAACCTTATCGTTCTTTACACTTCCCAATTTTTCTTAACCATCTCAGAATTAATGCAGTCATGTTGTTCAAGCTCGTTTCCATCTATCAGCTGTTCAATATGTTGAATGGCCAGGTGGTTAGGGTGCTCGACTCGCAATATGCGAGTCGCAGGTTCGAGTCCCCCGTCCCACCAAACATGCTCGCCCTTTCAGCCGTGGGGGCATTATAACGTGAAGTCAATCCCACTATTCGTTGGTAAAAGGGTAGCCCAACAGTTGGCGGTGGGTGGTGATGACTAGCTGCCTTCCCTCTAGTCTTACACTGCTAAATTAGGGACGGCTAGCGCAGATAGCCCTCGTGTAGCTTTGCGCGAAATTCAAAAACAAGCAAAACAATATGTGGAATACTATTAGTTACTTAGTAAAAACCGAAGAAAAAGCAAAATTTAATAACCCAGCCATCTCATAACCATCATCTTTATCATCCCTGAAGGGTCTTACACCCATCCCAACATTTAACCTTAATGTATTTAAAGAAATCATTATTGTTAATTTTACATTTTCAACTAACATGTTCTCATAGATCCTTTTCTATGTCTTAATTTCCTCTTTTACCAACTTTCTTTCTCTTCTATAATTTTCTAAATCTCCTGTCATACCAGTCAATTTAAATTTCTTAAATTCATTATGCAAAACACCAGGTTGGCTCACAAAGAGTTATTATAAGAAATGAAATTCAAGAAAAACTTGCAGCTACCCTTTTATTTCCATAAGGAATATGTTTACCTTGAATATTAGAAATTTATCTTTAAAAGTTGTCCACATCTGATCATTGTCTCCAATTATTTCAGCTGCCCAATTTAAAACAGAAATTTTGTCGCATCCCTTCACAGTTTTTGAAATTTCTAACCAAGATATGCAGCAAAACATCGAACCTAACAGAGCAATGATCACTTGCACCCAGATGTTCCCCAATTTCCACCCTCTCTATCATTTCCATATTTCAAGTTAACAATAAATCTGAAATAGCATTGACTAATTGGTAAAGAAAGCCATCTTCAGCAGTTTCCAAAAACATTTTCCCTCAATGTCTGTCTCTATCATTTCCCAATCTATATGCCTGAAATCAAAATCACCCATAATTATGATCTCTATCAGCCATGTGGGCATTATAATGTTGGGTCAATCCCACTACTTGTTGGTAGAATAGTAGCTCAAGAGTTGGCAGTGGGTGGTGATCACTAGATGCCTTCCATCTAGTCTTTCACTGCTAAAATAGAGACGGCTAGCACAGATAGGCCTCGTGTAGCTTTGTGCGAAATTAAAAAAACAGTCAGTTATATCCACCACCTGTGCCCCTGGGTAGCATAATATGATCATTTTCTCCCTATTTACTCAACAGATTATCCTATCCACATGCCTTGTCAAAGAATCACTTTGTTACATCTCTGTTCGTTTGTTAATTTCTCGTATAAATTTTTTCTGACGAACTTCAGCGATACAAGTCCTTTCTTAATTAAAACTAATTTATTCTTTCTCGATATAACTTTGTAATACAAACAATTTACACAGTCACTTTAAACTTAACAACCTAAATAACACACGCTAAAAATCACAGTGATTCACACACTTTACTTATGGTGCCTACTTTTTGGCTTGACTCAATTATCT